CTCCCACTGTCGAAAGGAAGCTCCAGGTACCCCGCTCCTACGTCCATCTAGCGGGGATTTTCTACCGGTAAACTGCCTCTCACCGTGTTTATTTGCTGGAGTGGCCTCTCTAGGGGCGGTTGTGGATAGAAAAGGAAGTCAGGAGGTACCCAAGCAGCTGGCTTTGTGAGACCTAGCTTTGTCTGGCCTCTACCCGTTGACCTTTCGGGCATGATTGGATCTACGGCTGTGAAGAGCCATCCTGTGTAGCTCGCAGGGTCATTGAAACACGCAAGCCATCGCACCACATCAAGTTGCAGTCTCGTCGTGATGGTATTACTGATGTGCGACCTTTTTTACCAGCTCTTTTGTGATTCATCTAAATCTTCTTTTCGGTTTATTCACCTCTGGTTACAGATTGGGAAACATTTGGTGAAGTAATTCTACAAAAACCTTGGCGACGAACCACGTTCCGATTACCTGCTCAGTTGACCGATGCGGATCGTGCCTATCTGATTGCGACTGCTGCAAAACACTTTGACCGGGTCATGGCCGTGTTACAAGCGATGCCACGACCTATGCTACTTTTTATTCGGTAATTCTGTTTTTTTTTGTTATGTGCTTTTATTGGTAGACCATATACATAGACGGCAGTTTGGTTTTATGAGATATTGTCAGTCTCTTCCGCACTCTCACTAGAGTTCCCAGGTTTTCTTGAGCCCGTCGAATCTACTGAAGGATACTGGTGTCTTAGCAGTAATGAAGGGTGTAGGAGTAGAAGAAATTTTCCCCAATGGCGTCCAGTGAGACAAATGAAACGGCTCAGTGGGTGAACAGGAACATGTTGCCAAATGTGGAAACTATGACTAAGGTTCGGAAGATTCCAATTTTCACAATCCGGTCACCTAATAACTCACGCATGTCGATGTGGGACCGACTAACGAACTGATGGAACCAGTCAAAGTCAAAAGTGTTGGTCATGGGGTCAATCAATACCGTACATTTTGAATCACGTCGAGCACGGTGAATCGAGTAGTGGTGATGGGGATATAAAATGAATATTCAGTGATCCGTAAAATTCAAGACACGCCAGAGCTACTAATAGTTGATTTAAGTTTGTCATACCAACCAATCCCATATCCATTGGTCTCCGACTGTTCTAATCGCATGTGTTTGAGGAATCATTAAGTCTAAACGGTATTGTGAACTAGCAGCACATTGATGTGATACGGTCAAGGTATTATAACCCAAATCTCTTTTTTCTCTCATGGTCGTACTCAAGGAAAAGCCGTGCAGCACCTGTGATTAGAACTGTACTTGAATTTGTTTTAGTGTCATGGGGAGAAATCAGCGACTTGTGTTATGGTATATATATATATATATGTATGCTCCTCGGAGTTCAGAAGTTTCAATCTACTTCACACCCAATACGAACTTCATTTTCCTTTCCCTCATAGGAATCTAAACTTAGTTCGATCCATTTGTCGATTGCATGGAGATCCCGTGGACCGCTATGTGCTCATGATTGATAGTGCTGTAATGGGCAGTCGTTTATACCGTGATGACCGGGGTGTACAGCACTGTCTCAGTCTGACGGACACGATTTATATCCAGCTCGTTTTGCGACGTTATCATTTTCAGCTACGGTAATTTGGTGTGCTTGATGAATCGTTTAACTCCTATTGATATTTCAGGCTGTATGTTGTCCCTGTGGATTCTACCCATTATTTGCCTTTGTGCCACGTAGAGCGTGTAAGACTGAACTGATTGGTAAATCATTGATAATTTTTGTTACACACGACTTCGCATCACAAAACAAGTCCATTGTTGCAATCAAAGTATCGATAAGTTTTCGGTGGTTTTACTCTCAAGGCTTTTCAAAAAGAAACAAAAAGAAGGGCACCGTAGTAGAAGCGAGCAGTTGGAGCCAGCTCATGATAGAAAAGAGAGTGAGTCGTAGGGCTCAATGTGCCACGGATTTACTCGCGAAACTGGGGAGGAGGAGAGTAACCGTAGGACGCACACTCCACAACTGTATGAACTTTAAAACCGGTATAAGCCCGGCACCCATCCGATGCCTATATTGACCGGTCATTAAGATACAGTCTAACAGAAGTCGTTTCTCTTTTTACTAACATTCTTTTCCACGGTACCGCTACTTTCGTTTAGTTCGGTTGTTACTACCATTAACCATGCACTTTCGTGCACCAGTTTTGGTTGCTATCTCACGACCACCATTTTGGATGAAGGAATAAACAAGATTGGAATGTTCAGGTCAGTGTCAAGGTGAAAATAGAAGATTCATAAAAACTACGGTTGCAAAGGTGATGATTCAATGATTCAATGCGTGACATTCAATCTTATTGCTCTAACCATTCATCCTAATGATCCTGAGGTCCCCATCCATGAAACTTAACACGATCTATGTGAGCACGTCTCCTGCTCAGGGTTTTCATACCCTTATGCCATGTGTGAGTTTGATCACCCTTTACTTTTTTCACTCATCTACCTCTGCTAACAGCAGGTGCCGTGGCAATTAAATTGGTGACATGCATAATACATGCGCTGACCTATGCAATCTATGGAGGCCGACCACTTGTTCCTGTGGGCGAACGCCGTTTCCCAAGTCTCTGCACTTAACCTAGGTGTTGCTTGTGCGGTTTTCCTACCGAATTGATGCTATACGGCGTAGACAGTGATGTTCGAACACCGGTAATCAATCCTCATCTTGTTTTTGTAACGGCCAAGTTTCTGCACATTAGCACTATCCAGAAAAGCTTGCAACTTTACTTAGCGATACGACATCTGCATACTCCAGATAAGGCAATCTACCGTACGGGAGCAAATCGATGCCACTATCCTCGCACGAGGACAGGGCTGTTTTCATAATCAGATCTATAACAAAGTTGAATAGAAAAGAAGAGAGAGGGCAACCCTGACGAATACCACTTTCCGTGGTGAACTCGGACGAAAAAGTGCCGTAAGCCCGGACTCGACTTCGGCTATTATTATAGAGTGATCGTAATATTGAAATTAACTTCTCGGGCACACCTTTCAGGGCAAGGCAGCGCCAGAGTTCAAAGCGGTCGACTGAGTCAAAAACCGCTTTCAGATCCAGGAAGACAGAGATGGTGGGTCTACGAAAAGAATGCCGGTGCTGCAGAATTTGGCGCAGAGTGAAGATGTGGTCGATACAACCTCGACCGGGTCTAAAACCAGCCTGGTTCTCACGCGTGCACCGTTCGCGTCCGGCAGACAATCGGTGGAGTATGATGCCAGTGAGAAGTTTAGAGACGATGTTGATTGAACTAATTCCTCTGTGGTTTTTACAAACAGAAGTATGGGCTTATAAATCAATGAAATGACCATTCAGTCGGAGTCCGTTTTCTCTCTCTCTCTCACATTGTGCCCTGGAGTTTCGTCAACGCGAATACTAACGCGGAACCTCAAAGTTTAAAAGCTGATGGGAACAACCCATCTGAGTCAGAGGCTTCACAGCTTTTGAGATAATGTATTTCCCGGAAAATCTCCATGTCAGATGGAGGACTGATATCAACTGGCAGGATGTACCCATTTCAGGTAGGGTCCAGTATCGATGGGGGCCAGTTGAACTGAATCTCGAACTGTTCTGTCTGCCGTTCAAGATGGCGTTGCCGAATGTGTATTGTCACATCTACACCTGCCTTCCTTGGGCTCCCACTCCTATTTAACCGGAACCGATTGCGATTTTTATCAACAGATACAGCCTTTTCTATCGCTCTACATTTCACTACTCCCAATTTCTCGCGGTCATTCCTCAGACTTTTGATGAGCTGGCGTTTAAGGAATTTGCGCCCTGTATCAAATTTGGCATCTAGAGACATGACTATACGAGCGCCTAGCAGGGCAACCGAGGACGAAGAAATCCATGGTTTGTGCTTTGATCGCGCTAGAATCCACCGTTGTTTTGAGCGACGTTTGGGTAGCTTCTTCGATTACCATCCAGTTTTTATTGAGTCATTCGGCTGATAGTTGAACTGAAAGGCTATCAGAGTTTCACTTTGAAGGCCGATTTTCTTTTGCGTTCTGTTGCTGGTATCCGTTTCCAGCGGCTTTGTTACAGGCATTTACTAGGTGTGGCTCGTAGCAAAGGGCACCCGCTCTCCACGGGTGAGAGCGGTACTCTTGAATGGATCCTCGCCAGCGGTGGCCATGTGAGCGATCTGAGTCAATTACTGTGAAGATCATGGGGTTTACATAGACACGACAAATATGCACTGACACGTACGGTCTGCTACTGACTGGAGTCCAGTCAAAAAGCGAACATTCAGTCTTGAAACCTAGCGCAATCCCAACATCAGAAACTCCATTAGCTTCAGATACCGAATCGCCTGAGGCATGAAGGATGAAGCCTAAGGATGAGGTGGGATCTAAAGAACGCAAGATGGTCATTGAAGTGTGATCTTGCATGCATGTTTCGGAGACAGCATCTAAATTTAAAACTTGAAGGATCCTAGCTAAGGCATTTCTGATAAAATGTACGGACGTCAAGTTCAGCCAGATGAAAGGGAGAGTTTGATTTTATCAATGCGATAGCTGTTGGTTGGTTGACCTTACTGGTTAAACGCTGAGTGGTGCAAACAGAAGGCATCTCGTACGATTTGGGAGTGGGGAAAGAACTAGACAGAAGATGGGGAGGGTTTTCTAAATGGGTGCCTGAGACTTTGGAACACGACATGCTTTGCGGTAGACCGTACCGAAAAAAGTTTTTCTCAAGGAACAATAACCGGAGCCTTGGATTCAAAAGTTGGACCAGCAAGATAGTGGGGCGTAGATCCAACGCTGGAGCGTGACCAAAACACCCGTATGGGAGCTTTTGGAGACTTATCATGCAAGGCTTTCGGGTTTTGGTTCAGAATGTCGTTCGTTGGTGCATTGATTGTCTGTCTGCTGTTCTGACTCAGACTTTGGTCTCATACCCTCAGTGAAGCAAGCGTGGACCGGATAGCACCTTATCGGCTGCGCCTACCCGGCTTGGGCGGGTTTCAACTGTCCATTGAATTGCGGAGACTGCTTCCATCGTCGGGAGCAAGCCCAGGTACCCCATTCCTACAACTAACTAGCTAGGGTTTTGACCGGTAAACTGCCTTTCCGTGCTCATTTGCTGAAGTGACCTCTCCAGAGGCGAGATTGGATAGTCAAAGGGGGCCAGGTGCTCAAACAGCTGGCCTTGTGTGACTGAGGTTAGTGTGGCCTCTATCCATTGGTCTTTCAGGTATGAGTGAATTTTCTTCTCTGAAAAGCCATCCTGTCTAGCTTTTAGGGTGGTAAAAGCACACAAGCTGCCAGACTACGCCAAGGTGCAGTCTCGTCGTGATGAATACCTCCGTTTATGACTGTGCCGAGTGCATTAGCACCTGACAGCTTCCAGGACAAAACTGAATCATAAAACTTCATCTCGTACGGAAAGCAGTGGTTTCAGCTTTTAAGGTAGCTCTTTGGATTACTCGATGGAGTAACTATTGGAAGCCATCTGGATCCTATTTCAACGGAATTATTCGCGGTAATATCCGGGACACGGTATCTATGACCATTAAGTTGACGGTATTTTCGTCATCACTAATTNNGTTTCGTTTCTCAATCAACTCAATGCGAATCATCCAAATATTCAGTCAACGATTGAGTGTGAACAGGACGACAGTATTTCCTTTCTAGTTCAAAATATTTCGGTATCACGAAGAGCAAACTGACCGCCCGATATATCGTAAACACATGGGTAGCCTATTACATGAATGTTATCGGTTTTGACTCCATTCGTTATGATCTTGGTCATGTAAGGGCGTTGTTCGGCCGAGCACACGGAACCGGCGTATCGTTATTCTTGAAGTGAAGCTGGAGCAAATCGAGGACACATTTCTGCTGACAATCCTAGAGATTAATTCTGTAACCGCATATGCAAAGCATTGCTAGTGGCGTATATCAGATCAAGTTTAGCCTTTCAATTGGTTTGTAGACCACCTCGTTTCGGAAAACGGCGTGAAAAATTCGACTTTAAGCGGCCGCTCTCATTTCCGCTTGGCTCG